TAACCCCAGTGCTCAATCCAATGATATATTCCCTTAGAAATAAAGAAGTTAAAGAGACTCTAACAAAATTGCTATGGAGAAAGAAAACCTTTCTCCAAAAATGAATTTGTCCATTACCTTAGCACATATATTGGTTGGGTAAAAAGAGACTGAAACATGGAATTGACTCTCAAGTAGATAAGTAAATATTCTATTTCTGTATAAGTTTCCAGAAATAATATATGATCTTTCTGTCTGGTACTTCACGTATACCTTGATTCTTTGCTACTGGGATTTTTGAGTACATGGCAACATCAAAGCTGCATGGGTGATAAACATAACAGTTATCATGGACTGTGTGTTTTTATGTCTTAATATATTCACAGTTTCTGATTTCTGGTTTTTTTTATGAAATCCAACAAACGTAGTACTTGACTTATGACCCACAACTGGAACCAGAATTAACATTGCTAAGCAAGGCAATTGTTAAGTGAGTCATGTCTGATTTTATGACATTTTTTGCCATGGTTGTTAAGCAAATCACTGCAGTTATTTAGTTAATCATACAATTGTTGAATGAATCTGGCTTTTCCCATTGACTTTGCTTGTTGGAAGCCAGATGGGAAGGTTACAAATAATGAACACATCACCCACAGGATGTTCCATCCATTGTAAATATATGCTGGTTGCCAAAGCACCTGAATTTTGATCACATGACTATAAGGATGCCATGACAGTTTTTGTGTGAGGACTGTTTGTAAGTCACTTTTTTCAGTGCTGTTGTAACTTTGAATGGTAGCTAAACAAATTGTTATAAGCATTGGACCACCTGTAGAAGTTTTCGCATTATCAAGAAACTGATAAAAGTCCAGTAAAGTGACATTTATGTAAATATAAGTAATGCTCTCTTTAGAACTACATGCTCTATGAAGAAAAGGTAAACAGGAATGGGAAAATAGGGAGGATACCTTGTCATCTGATGCTTGGACTACTGCACAATGCTCTACATAGGGCTCCCCTTAAAGAGCATTCAGAAACTTCAACTGGTGTAGGGTGAGGATGCAGGTCTCCTAGAATGGTTACTATTACAACCTGTCTTGTGGGTTAGAGTGACTGCCAGTCTGCTTCCAGGTGCAATTCAAGGTGTTGGTTATTGCTTATAAAGCTCCGCATGGCAAGGGCCCAAGTTACTTGAGGGCCTGGACCCGTGCCATGGGGTCTCACATCTATGGAACAGACCCACCCCACCTGTGTCAGCAGAGGAGGCATATTGTCAGTCAAAAAAGTCTGGCTGGCCTGGTCCAGGAGAAAAGCCTTCTCTGCCATAGCCCCAGCCCTTGGAACATCTTTCCTACTGAAGTGAGATTGGCTTCCAACTTCCTGATCTTTTGCAAGAGCCTGAGAACCTGGATCTATCAGTTGGCTTGGAGCTGGTAGAGGCTTACAATATGAAAGTAAAACCGTAGATATGAAAATCCAGCATACATACATACAAATACACACACATACACAGAGAGAGAGAGACAGAGACAGATAATTTTTTATCTAAGGTTTTATTTTCATATTATAAGCCTCCCAGAAACATCTTGCAGTGAGATGTAGCAAACACATTAATTGATTAATTAATTAATTAATTAATTAATTAAATCTGCAGTTTTCAAGGTTCATGGCCTCCCTTGCTTATATTAAAATGTACTCACATATCTGTTAACTGAATAGTGCTGTGTAATGTGTAGGTTTTATGACATTTTATAAAGAAACCCTTTCTACTGTTATACATATTTGCCATGTACTTAATATGAATGATTCAGCTTAATTGCAAACTTGTTATATGTTGTTTTAAACGTAAAAGTTCAGTATATATGTAAACGTCCTATTTATATGAATCTACTTGAACAAGAATTGTATTCGGAAATATTATACAGTTGCATTGTTGGACTTTACTTCTGCATATACATAAATAAATCACCAGTTGCAATTAATTTTTAACTGATGTGTACTTACTATATAAAATACTGATGTAAAATATAAGCTTATATAAAATATCAAAATGAAGTTTAGTTCCAAAAACTGCACAAGATAAATTAACTGCCAAGACCATGAATGAAATGTTGCCCTCTGGATAAAATAAAATAAAATAAAATAAAATTCTCTTATCAAATGCTAGTACTTGAATGACTTCCTGGGAAGATTTGGCAAACTAAAGATTACTACACAAAAGCAAGGAACAAATGTTCAAGATAGCTTTAGAACAGGCCAATGCTCAAGAAAGATTTCTGGTGCATTCTTGAGAAAGACAAATACCCCAAAGAAGTCAATATATGTTTCAGACATTATAGAAATGTATTTGTGTCCATCATGTCAACCTGTGCAATGTTCTTAGGAAATTGGGAACCATAGAATATTCAATTACCCTTTTTAGAAAAAGATATGCTTACACACAAGATAGGAAGAAGATAGGAAGATCTGGAAAGAATATAGTGAACCAAATAGACTGCAGATTGGCAAAATAAGGAGCACTTAGGGGTCATCAGGATCAAGCAAGATTAGAAAGAGGAATCAGTGGAATGGAGGGAAAAAGTGACAATTTGAAATGACCAATTATAACTTAGCAACAAGAAAAAAGAAAACAAAAGAGCTTGACCAAAGTTATGGATTTCTATGAGAAAAGAGGCATTTTTCCTTATTTCAATCCTACTTTGTAAGCTAAAAGGAAGTCCAGAAGTGAAAGTATTGCCTTACAGAATAAGCTAGTGATCTCTAATGCTTTCAAAAAGAGACTGGACAACGATTTGTTGTCTCCTGCTTGAGCGGGGGGCGGGGTGTTGTTGGACTAAAAGACCTCCAAGGTCCCTTCCAATTCTATTACTCAAGTTAAAACTCAAACACTTTGGCCACCAATGAGAAGGAAGGAGTGTACATCAAATAAAAATCTTTATTGTAGTCATTGACTTCCATAAAGCAATGAAATTCCACACATCCTGAAGTGTGAAAGGGTAATAAAATGGAGAGGAGGAGGAGGAGGAGGAGGAGGAGGAGGAGGAGGAGGAGGAGGAGAATTGTGTTGTGCACAAAGGTTTCAAAGGAATGCAGTAATTATCTTAGGCAAAAGTCACTGTGGGAGCTTATTGTGTATTGAGTATTCCCCAGTGAATCCCAAATAGTCTTTAAAGGAACACTTTAAACACTCATGACTTCTTAAGATGCTTCTAGACTGCCATGAAAATGCTATGATCAAGGAATACTTTAGCTTTTTTATTTTTATGCAGGGTAACTGTGAAATCATTTTACTTTAAACAAGGATAATTATTGCTGCATCTTGCTTCCTTAATCATATTTTAGACTTCAAAAAGTGCAACTGAGGTAAGAATTACTCTCCCCTATTATACATTTTGGGATGTATTTTCAGTAAATCGTACATGAGAAACCTTGAAAAAAATTCAGGAATTGATGGAATACTTTCAAATTCCAGTTGACAGAAAATTCCTTTATGCAGTTGTTTGTTTATTGCAAGCATTAACTCAAACAATGTTATTCTGGGTTATGTATAACAAAATAAGTAGCCAGGAAACTATAAATATCTAGTTCAAAATAGCTGTCTCTAAGATCCATGGGATTACTTCCACAAATATAAATAAAGAATTGTGGATTTCATACAGTGGTGGATTCAAATAGCTGAACAACCAGTTCTCTTATTAGATGCAGGCCTGGGCCTCTGAGCCTAGAATGGACTTCCAGAAGTGGCATCCATGCACATCTGGCAGGCCGTTCTAGGCCTGGGAGGCCTCCTCCAGGACTCCCAGGCCTAGAACGGACTTCTGGAAGCAGTGTGCATTCAGCCAGTTCTCCGAACTCAGCAAAATTTAGCTACCGAACTGGTGTGAACCAGCTGAATCCCACTACTGATTTCATATCATTCTCAGTTAGAATCAGGTAATCCCACAATGCATTACTATAACATGGAATATACAAAATATTTCCCCAATCGGTTTTTTTGAACCAATATATGAACATTCTAATTTAACTAATTTAAATTCTACTTTTTTCATGAACAATTTCCTTGCCATCAGTACTGAAGTGATTTTCCATTACTATCTCTGGGATGCTATTTCAACCTACTCATTCCCTGTAATTCATCAATGATCTCCCATTCAGGTTCTAACCAGATCCAATTGCTTAGCCTCTGAACCCAGTCAAGGACAAACAGGTGGATCATCTGCTAAATTTGAATATACTTTATAGCTTCAAAAGTTAATCCCACTAAATATAATTTCTGTTCTAAGTTGCATGGAACTAAGATTTTCAAAATATTGTCATGATATAAGTCATGAAGCACAATAGGACATCATTTGGCTGTTGTGATTGCCTTGTGCAATTGTTATTATGCACTGAGGGGGGGGAATCCAATCAAATTATCAAAAAATCAGTCCTCACCTTTTAAAGAATTGACAGTAGAAGTCATTAATAATGGGCTTCGTTTCCCAATCCATTTACTCATTCTTGCTCCTCCAGGTTCTTGATAGCATGATTATATGTTAATATGTTATTTAGGATATCTACTGTTAAGAATCATGTTGTTTTAAAGGGAAATGTTGAAAAATAAAATATAAATAGCAAGGAACAACAGAAATTAGAACAAAATCCTTAGAAATTGTTTTGTAGTTTTTGTGGAATAAGTAATATAGAAAAAGAGATCATTTGCCTTATATTTTCCAAAATTATATAAAAAAAATAGAAAATGATTCAAAAGTTGTGTACTAACTTTCAAGTAATATAATCAGTCATTATTTTACATGAACTGGGATAAAAAGACAGTGGTACTTCAAGCACTTGGAATATTATATTGAGTTCTGGTCACAACCTAGAAGAGCAATCATATGATGAATGGTTGATTGAGCTACCATAGGTAGGTCCAGGCTATCAAAAAGATGGATTGCAGAGGACATGACAAGAATATCCTTAAGTGATAGCTACCCCAAATTAACTTTTTTTATCTAATTTAGGTAAACAGCAGTGGAGCCATGGAAATTAATAACCAAACTGCTATTTATAAAACTAATTTCAGGTTGTTGGGTTTGTCCAGTACACCAGGACATCAGATATTCATCTTTTGGATATTTGCTCTCATGTATGCATCAGCTTTGACTGGCAACTTCCTCCTGATTCTTGCCATTGGCGTTTGTAGTAAACTCCACACACCTATGTACTTCCTTTTGGTCAATCTCTCTGTAGTCAATATTTGCACTATCTCTGTATCAGTTCCCAAAATGCTTCACAATATTTTGAATAAAAAAAGGATCATCTCATTTTCAGGCTGTACTATTCAAGTGTTTCTTTCACTTTGGGCTCTGGGGACAGAGATTCTCTTACTTTCTTGTATGGCTTTTGATCGATATGCTGCTATTTGCCAGCCATTGCATTACATGGTCATTATGAAGAAAGAGGTGTGTATCGGATTAGCCACTGGAGCCTGGATTGTAGGAATGGCTAGTTCTGCAATTAATGCTGGCCTTTTGCTAAGGCTGTCCTTCTGTGATTCTAAAGATATCAACCATTTTTTCTGTGAACTGCATCCACTGTGGAAACTCTCTTGCTCTGACATCAGCCTAAATGAAACAATGGCATTTGCAGCTGATGTGACCTTCACATTGAGCGGCTGTATTCCTACACTAACGTCTTATCTATTTATTTTGAGAACTATCATGAAGATCCAATCAGTCAAAGGGAAAAAGAAAGCATTCTCTACTTGTTCTTCCCATCTACTAGTAGTAAGTTTTTATTTTTCCACACTTATGTACATATATGGTAAACCATCATCTCCCAATGATGAAGAAGAATACAAGAATATTGCTATAATTTACTCTGTGGTAACCCCAGTGCTTAATCCACTTATATATTCCCTTAGAAATAAAGATGTTAAAGAGACTCTAACAAAATTGTTATGGAGAAAGAAAACATTCCAGCAAAAATGACTTGAATTTGTCTACTTTCTTAACACATATATTGAACGACTAAAAACAGATTGAAATATGGAATTGACTTTAAAATAGATAAGGAAATATTCTATTCCTGTGCAATTTTCCAGAAACAGTTTATAATATTTTATCTGGCACTCTACATATACCTTGATTATATGCTGCTGGAATTTCTTGAAGCAACATCAAAGATATACTTCATGGGTGCTATACATCAGCAAATACAAAGATATTTTTTTTTTATGAAACCCAATACTGCTAGTCCTTGACTTATGACTAGAATTGGGACCAAAATTTCCATTGTTAAGAAAGGCAGTTGCTAAGTGAGTTATGGGGGGTTTTTTTGCTATAGGTTTTAAGCACATCACCGCAGTTGTTAAGTGAATCATAGTTATTAAGCAATTCTGGCTTCCCCTGTTTACTATGCTTATTAGAAGCCAGCTGGTAAAGTCACAAATAATAAACAAGTAAGCCCAGGATTCTGCAATTGTTGTAAATACATGTGGCTGATAAGCACACAATTTTGATCACATGAATCTAAATATGCCATAACAGTTCTGAGTGTGAGTACTGGTCTTACGTCACTTTTTTCAGAGCGGTTGTAACTTTGAATTGTCACTCAATAAATCGTTGTAAGTCAAAAACTACCTGTAGAAGTTTTTGCATTATCAACAAACTGATAAAGCCAAGGAAAATTCACATTTACTTAAATATATTCCAAGTAGTTCACTCTTTAAAACTGCTTGCTCTGTGAAGTGAGAGCAGACATAAAGGAAGCAGAAATGGGAAAATGGGAAATATCCCCAATTTGCAAGGTTCATTGTTCCCTTGTTTATATTAAAATGTACTCAGATATCTCTTAAATGAATGGGACTACTATTATGTAAAGGTTTTATTATATTTTTAAAGAATGCCCTTCTACTGTTATGCATATTTGTCCTATAATGTAGTTTTTGAATATTATTCAACTTAATTGCAAACTTGCTATATATTGCTTTTAGTATAAATGTTCAGTACATATGTAAACTACCTATTTAAATGAATCAAGCCTGCACAAAATTGTAGGTTGTTGTATTTGGAAATGCCACTCAGTTGCACTGGTGGACTTTACCTCTGTATACAATCAAGGAGAGAAGCAACCTAGAACTAAGGAGAAACTTCCTGACAGTTAGAACAATTAACCAGTGGAACAACCTGCCTCCAGAAGTGGTGAATGCTCCAACACTGGAAGTTTTTAAGAAGAGACTGGACAGCCATTTGTCTGAAATGGTATAGGGTTTCCTGCCTGAGCAGGGAGTTGGACCAGATGACCTCCTAGGTCCCTTCCAACTTTATTATTATTATTATTATTATTATTATTATTATTATTATTATTATTATTATTATTATTATTATTATTATTATTATTATATACATATATTCATAATCAATTAAATAGCTGAAATTGTAAAGACAGATTAATTTTAACTGCTGTGTACCTAGTATGCAAAATACTGGCATAAAATGTAAGCTTATATAAAATAACCAAATGAAGTTTAGTTCCAAAATTTGTACAAGATAAATTGCCTGCCAAGATCATGAATAAAAAGTTGCCCTCTAGATAAAAAAATAAATAAAAATGTAATTGTCTTATCTAATTCTAGTTGTTGAATGACTTCCTGGGAAGGGGTGGCAAAATGAAGATGACTACACAAAAGCTTGAAAAAGATGTTCCAGATAGTTTTAGAACAGGCCAATGCCTAAGAGTGATTACTGGAGATGCATTCTGAATTCTTGAAAATCAAATACCCCAAATACTCCAAAGAAGTCAATATGTGCTTCAATCATTATAGAAATGAATTTGTATCCACTATGTCAACTTGTGTAACGTTTTTAGGAAAATGGGAACCCTAGAACATTGTCCTTATTAGAAACTTATGCACAAGATAGGAAGCCACAGTCTGGTAAGAATATGGTGAATTATCAAACAGATTCCAGGTTGGCAAATAAATAAGATATATAGTATAAGTGAACTTATATTGAAGGAGGCTGCATTAGAAGATGAGCAAAAATTGGGGAAGAAACATCAACTATCCATGTTACATTTATGATACTGCTATGATAGTAACGAAAGAAGGCACATTGATGAAAATGTGTCAATTATTAAATATAAACAAAACCAAATAAATGACAACTGGTAGTTAGAATTAACAATGATGATGCTGAAGTGACAAATAGCTCCTCTTTAGTGTGACTTACAACAGTAAAATAAAATTGTAAATGCTCAATTACAATACAGTTAATGCCTATCTTATACTTCTGAATTTGATTGCCCTTTCTCATTTTAAATTATATTCTGTTATTTTCAGCTGTAGCATACAGGTAGTTCTCAAGTTATGACCACTTGTTCAGCAGCAATTTGAAATACAACATTGCTGAATGAAGGGACTTATGACTAGTATTCAAAGTTTGGACCACTTCAGTGTCCCTTTGATCACATAAACAAAATTCAGGTGCATGGCAGACAGGTCTCTCTTACAATCAGTTGCAGTGTCCTGCAATCATGATATATTCATTATTTGCATATTTGACTCTTGCTGGGATAGCACTCCTCAGGCTGCATAACTTGGGGGAGGGGGGGACTTCTGGACTTCTGGCTTGAGGAAGAGCTGGCAGCCATAGCTAGGGCACAGATCCATCTTATTCACCAATTACATTCATTCCTGGACTGGAAGACCTTGTTCATAGCCACTTATGCCTTGGTCATCTTCAGGGATTACCATAACTTCCTCAACAGGCCTCTCCAAAGACTATCAGGAAATTACAACTAGTTTGCCCTATATTGCAGCAATACTGGTTTGCCCTATATTGCAATACTGAATGAGCTGAACTGGCTTCCAGTTCTCCCCCACCCCCGGTACAATTCAAGGTGCTAGTTATCATCCAAATAGCACGGAACAATATTATTTTCAAGTCCACCTCTTTCTGGGTATATCTGCCTGTCCCACCAAGTCTGACAGACTGCAGACATTCCAAGTCCTTTCCATTAAATATTGCCATTCAGTGTGATCTAGAAAGCATGTCTTTTCTGTAGTTGCCCATCCTGTGAAAAACCCTTTCCCTAGAGATCCAGCAGGGTTCTGCCCCCTTCACCTAGAGATCCAGCAGGGTTCTGCCTCAAAGAACAGGCTGTTTCCACATTTTGGGGTAAAATGTTGGGATAAAGTGAGACTGGAATCCAGCAAATAGTATGTTAATGTATGGGATAATAATACTCCAAAGCATCAGATTTATTTATTTATTTATTTATTTATTTATTTATTTATTTATTTATTTATTATTTATTCATTCATTCATTCATTCATTCATTCATTCATTTATTTATTTATTTATTCATTCATTCATTCATTCATTCATTCATTTATTTATTTATTTATTTATTTATTTATTTATTTATTTATTTATTTATTTATTTATTTATTTATTTATTTATTTATTTATTTATTTATTTATTTTGTTTTTCCAATTTTTAAATAACCCATCTCCCCCAGAGATGGTTGTGCTTATTTGTTATTTGCTTGTAACTAAGTTTATTGTTTTATTAAACAATATTTTATTTATGGTTCTTTATATTCATGTATGTATGGCTGTAGTTTCAGTGTGTGTGTGTGTGTGTCTGTGTGTGTGTGTCTGTGCGTGTGTGTATATTAATGGAAATATATGAATGGAAATGAATGAGACTTTAATAAGCCATAGGCTATATGACTGAAACTTGAGCAATAACATTATCATTAGTGAGCAAAGACACATGTATAACAGTTGTACTGCTTCACAACAAAGACTGTTTTCTTTAATATTTTTATAGCAACTTAAAATGTAAAACATGTGAATAGGCTTTCATGGGTGGGATACAAACATTACATCATTGAATGGACATCTAATGGAATTCTATTATGGTAGTATTTATTACACGTGAGAAAAAATAATAAATGACCTGACATCCAAATCATCCATTTCTGTCTTCTATGTATTCATTGTGGTAACTTGCATGTAAGATCAATTAGCGCAATTGATTTTCTTTTTTTAATCACCCACATTGGGATCATTACCAGAGTTACATTTTCTCATATATTTTTAATTGCTAATAATTCCCAGTAGATCCTATTATTGTTTCAACTGTGTTTCTAAGCTTGCCTTCAGTTTCCTGAGAGCTACAGAATAGTTCTGGGCTTCCAGCCAGCTTGCAATCCTCAAAAGGATATTTATCTACTGCTTTCAATTAATTAACTCATTCTGGCTGTAACATCTTAGACATCTGCTAATTGGTGAAATTAAGAACTGTCTTACCAGTAACATGCAAGTTTGTCTGACCACTGCCTCCAGCTGGCCACAATTCTCATTACTATTAGATGATCAATGTTTTATCCACCAATGTTTTATCTTCTTCTTCTTATAGCTATCTAATATTCCTGCCATCCTAATTTACCTGCAAGAATCTAACCCGTAATTTTCATAGCTATAAAGGTGTGCTTTCTGTCATTCATAATAAGCATGTAAAGATAACACACATACAGTATGACTAGTTTTAAACTGGACATCTGCTGGATTTTCAGGGATAATATTTTCAGTTTCCTAATAATTATAATATTTAAAAATGGATTATATTATGAAGGTCTGATTGAAGTGGATGAAGAGCAGTGGTTTCCTAAGGCTCACATATCATTCAATGGTGAGAAATCAGGGAGTGTCTTAATTTCTGAAAAAAATATATATGCCACAATCTTTTAGTTAGGGAAAGTTCTCCCTCCCCCCCCACAACCTGGGAGAAGCCCTTATTGAATAGATGTTCAGTGGATTTTTCTGCTCAAGTTCCATACAATACTTTTGAAGTCAGTCTGAGTACTACACACTTAACACCACACACAAAAATGTCAGATTTATAAACCTGAGTCTGACCCAAACACACTTAAAGTTGGAAGTAGAGATTATCTGATTCTTTGCATTTTCCTTTTTGCTGT